AACGAGATGATGGAGCGCTTGCGGAAAGTGTATGGCTCACATCACCATTTTGTGACGCCGCATTGCCCATGGGCAAACGGCACGGTCGAGGTGGTCAACCGGTTGATTGTCCGCGCATTGAAAGCGTTGTGCAGCGAATTGCGCCTGCGACCCAACGAGTGGCTGTCAGTACTACCGATGGTACAGTCTGCCTTGAATTTACAACCTTCGGATCGACTTGGTGGTGTGGCCCCGACTACAGCGTTCACTGGTTTACCGGCGACGTCACCATTGCATGGTTTAGTTCATTATGACGTGCAAGACATTCAAACCATCGATTGGGTTGAATCGGCGTGCCGCAGTCATGTCCATAACCTTACCAAGGCATTGGATGGGATACAGAAGAGTATTGTGGCGTCGGCTGCCAAAAAGCGTGCTAAGGCTCGTGGCCGTCGTCGTAGCCTACGTCGCGTGGAGCTCGCAAAATTTGCGTTGGGTGATTTTGTTTTGGCTGCTCGAGCCGTCCAGCACCCCAGCAAACTGTCTCTGCGATGGTCTGGACCGTATCGGGTCGTTAAGGTGCTTTCTGACTACTTGATGGAGATGCAGCAGTTGGTTCCCCCGTTTGACACCTCGTTGCACCAAGCATGCCGCCTCAAAATGTACTGCGAAGGTGGGCGCGATGTCGACGAAGATCTCAAGACGCAAATTGCATTTGGCGATGAAGGATTTAATGTCGACGAGTTGCGTGGCATCCGTCAGGTTGATGGTGAGTGGCAGGTGCTACAGTAGTCAAATGGCTTGGTTTGGACGACGTCGAATCGTCGTGGGAGCCGGCCCTGTGAGTCTACGACGACATTCCCGTGATTTTCCATCGTTGGGCAAAGGCACGGGCAAGTGACGACGGTATGTGCGACCTAATTGCGGCCGTCGAATATGCCTGCGGGAATCCCCTCTAGGCTGGGGGAGGAAGTGTTCTCAGCTGAGCCTCGAACCCGACGTGCACGTGCCCTGTGTGTGCAGTCGGTGCTGGTAGGATTTGTATCCCATCCTCCGTTCCTCCGATGCTTGAGCGGAGTACGTTCTCATTGGGTAAATCTGCTTGCTGTGCGGGCAGTCAGTGTACCACAAACGGGGGCTGACTGAGGGAACACTTCTAAATCGAGAATAATGTCACTTCACGATTTGTCAACTGGAGACCACTGCTCCGAACACGGTGGCTGGTTACGAGCACCGGAAAAGGACAACAACAACTCATGTGTCCTAGGTGGCTGTTTACCGTTTAGCGCATTACGAATTGGCAATGATATGCCTTTATCCGTGTTCGGATAGTCGTTTTAAGAGGAGTGAAGTCGGTTTTCGAGTCAAATATGCATTTCTATATATGATCGAATTCTCAATCTACAGTACCTTTCACAAATATAAAAATTTACAGCAGATATAAACGTCCAAAGAACATAAGAAATAGCAAAAAATCTGAAAAATCATCCACAAATTGCATGCATTTTTATAATGTTCGAACGGAACGTCCGACCGTCCGGATAATTCATCAGATTCCAGGGGGGACAATCTCCTGTATGCCTACACAATTAGTCTCCGTGTCAAATAGTAACTGTTCGATGAAATTGTTAGATATATCGGATATTACTATAGGTATAATGGAAAAAGCAGAGTTCTTGATGAAGTACCCACAACCTTGGAAATGACCGAGTATTTCGACTTTAGATTGAAATTTCTTAAATAGATTCAGTTAATTCGAAAAAGACCCCCAATATGATCAAAACTTGTATGTATTTATCAAATACTCGGTTATAGAGGGATATAGCGGTCGCTACGTGTGTCAAAATGCTATTGGCCGCCGTCATTTTTTTCCCGCGCAATTCCAAACCTGGATCGATCGCCACACACAACACAATCAATTTGAACATCGCCATGGTACTCAATATCACCTCCATGCTTGAGCGCTTGCACATGCAGAGTGTCTCCGACCAGCTCTTTCTCGAGGAAAGTCTTGGTGATTATGGTGACGCTGTTGACGAGGAAAATGACACAGTAACGTATAGTAATCCTGTGATTGACAACGTCATCGAAGAAAGCGGAGCTGAGGGGTTTCGCACGCTAACCAACTTCAATCCAATGGAATTTGAGATTGTCTGGAGTGTCGTTGAAACCGAGCTTCAAGCGCGCTGGAACGATAGCCGGGGCCGCAAATCCAAGACGACGCCAAAGAATGCGCTTTTTATAACGCTTGTCATCATGAAGTACTACCAGACTTGGGAGAAGCATGCACTGGACTTTGACAACAAGGCACCAACTCTGGAGAAAATTGTCCTTCGCGTTGTCGAAGTTGTTTCGCCACTGATCTACAACTACTTCGTCGTGATGCCAACCATGGAGCAGATCCACGTCAGCGGTCACCCGTTCGCCAACTATCCCTACGCCAAGTACGCGACCGATGTCAAGTTTCAACCTTCGCATCGACCGGCCGGCGGATTCGGAGAGCAGAAACACTACTTCAGCGGGAAACACAAGCTCTACGGACTCAAGATCGAAGCGTCTTTTTCCCCACAAGGCAAACTCGTGGATATGAGCAACCACGAACCTGGTTCAGTGTCGGATCTCACTACGTTTCGCAAGCGCCATGACACGCACGTGGCCAACCTGACCAAAACTCCCTCCGAAGCGACTATCAATGACAACGGTGAGCTTCATCAAACCTCTCCGAACGTGTGGGCCGTACTGGTCGGCAAAAATTACGTTGGTTTGACCGAGTCCGTTCGTGCCGTGCACCCCAAGAAGCGCCCAATTCATGGAGCCCTTGATTGCCTTGACCCGGGGCGCAACGCCGCCGTGTCCGCTGACCGAGCCATCGTCGAGAACTTTTCGGCCGGGTGTGCATCTTGTGGAAATCTCCTACAGTACGTTTGTGTGGGGAACTAAGATCTTTGATGGAATTCAACGACTCAACTTTGCTCTGACCAACTTCCACGTCGGTCTCATGCCGCTCCGTGAAGACGACCGCCACCACTATCGTTCCGTTCTGGCCCGATATGCCCGCATGGCCGAAGAGAAGATCACTTAGCGTGCCATGACCCAGCGCCGTGCTGAGCGCCTTGCGATGGGTTCGATGCGCTCGTCTTTCGCTGCTCGTGGCCCTTTCTTGTCTCCATCTCCGAACACCCGCCGTTAATTTAATAATGGCATTTTATACTTTATTTTTGTATACTTTTGCATACAAACTTCAAGTCAAAATTAAATTTTGTAATTATATTTTTCAACATCCACGTTTCTGTTCGATGATCGACTTTTGAGAAAGGATGGAGTCAATTTGGAAATGGGCGGGTCTATTCCTCTTTACCATGTCGTAAATCAGAGAGACTATTTCTGAAGATACAACCCTGTCTCTATTCAATAGGCAGAATCTTTCCTGTGAACCCAAGTCATGTGCCATTCGGAGGCTCATTTACGAAATGTACGGCTTTTGAAGTCGTGATTTAATGCATTTTATTCATTTTGAAAACTATCGATATTAGAGGCAATACTCATCACGGTCGCAGCTGTCGGTACCATGTTCGATATTGCTCTCCGCGGAGTACGCGGTTCCAGGTGCAAAACCCGCTCCGCCGACGGAGTCCAGGTACTCTGTCGTCTCCACTCCTTTGGCCACGTCGGAATCCCGTATACGAGGAATTTCTGCTCTAGTCAATAAACTCATCATAACTTTTGCAATCATTCGTGTGCGAGTGTTCTGGGTACCCAGAGCCGACTCAACCTCGCGAAAGGTCGGTTAGCCAGGTCCCAACCAAGATGTCAAATGCGGTAAGTGTCCAGTAAGTGCGGTTAGCGGGGTGACTCACCTCGAAATGAGGGCTACTGGCTAACTGACTGTAATTCAGTTTGCATTGTGAATCGGACCAAGCGAGTGGTTCCTGTAGCTTCGACGAAAAGTCGAGGGTGCGGGGCGTGGAATAATGAATTTTTTAGAGCATTGTATCGAGCACACGATGAGTGATATTGATGAGTGGTCGCCAAGCCGCAAGTCACGGTCGCCGAAGCGCGACGACGACACAGTGCGGTACGACTCTGGAGTGCGCCAAGGCCGCGAACATCTTCGCGGGCCATTTGGGTCTCCTCGCAGAACCTAGCCACAACCGATCGACTAGCGCGGAATGGGACAAAAAGGCAACGCGATACATGTGCCAATGGTGATACCGCTGCAACGCCTGCATCGGCTGTCGAGATGCCTCTGCCAGCCGACACGCCGACAGCGACAAGTGTGGCCGACGAGGAAGTCGACATGGGAGAAGATACCGGAGTCCGTATGCTGCATACGCCGGCTATTCCCCAGCCGCTTTTGCTCAAGAGGTCAACGAAGGCCGAACGTCAGGCGTTCATGCGAGAGTATCAGTGGTATAAATCGCAGGTCGAGGCATTGCAGTCGACCGGCCAGCGGCTGTTCCGGATACCTTTGGGTGCATGCATGGACCTATTCCTCAAGCGGCGCATTGCAGTGTTCGACTTAGAAAGTCGCATGGCAATGTGACTGAAGCCGAGTGAGTTGCCTGGCTCATGGAAGCCCACGACGAAGAGCCGGCGGAGTTGGACGCGCTCAAGAGGCGTCTGCAAATACCCGTGCAGTTCGACACGACGACTCTCGACGCCGACAGTCGAGTGAGCCGAATGCTGGACAACCTGATGCGAGCTCTTGCGGCAGACGGCCAAGAGTGGATGCTACATAAGAAGGCAATCAAGCCTGCGCCACTGCAAGTTGCGGTTACAAAACAGTTACTATTGCAGCGAAACAAGGTCCTCAAGGCTGACGTGTTTCGTTTCATCAAGTGGCTGCAGCAGTTCGCCGCTGGGTACCAGCCCTACGGTGTGGACAACCCGCCAAGGCACCAGTAGAAGCGCGGCCGAGGGGCGAACAGCGCCAAAACCCGCGTGGCTGCGGTCGTAGCCACGGCAGCAACAACAAGAAACCCGCTTAAGCGTGTCAACTAGGTCTTGTTGGATTTCAGCGGCACTGATGTCTTCCTTGAGGCGGCGAAAAACCTTCTTCAACGGCGCGATCTTCTTCGCCTTGACTTGACGCTTCTTGCGCGTCTTGTTCCCTTCAGTCGCACTTACGAGGGAATTGACGAACCCTACTAGGAGTTTAGTGCTAATCCAGACTCGAACTTACAGTCTTTCCCAATAAAGGTACTGCCTCGTATACTCACAGAAGGAGAACAGGTAGAGCTGTATTGTTGTAGAGCTGGTCGGAGGGACGCTGCCTGATGACGCGGACGACTTGGACGGTGACGGCAGACAACCCGGGAAGGTACGAGAATATTCCGTCTAAATGCGGAGTTCTTGACGCGGTGTGTTTAACCTCGGCGGCGGAGTGCAGAGGAGGTTACCTGGGCTCGTAACCAATTGAGTGTAAATTGGAAAGTGATTGAATAAGATGATGTCAAGCTAAACTACGAGAATGATCGCTTTATAGTGCCCGTCTGGATGGAATATCATTCTGAACCGTGATAAGTAACCTTAGGCTTTTGCACTTTTCGAAATGCCGTAAATTCGGGAGAATATACAATTCTCGTTCTGCAGCTATTGCACTGTCTGGATTCCAAAACAGCCATTGTAGGTGAAGAAGAAAATTTCCGGATGAAGTCCAATCCACAGAGAGGGGGGTAGTAGTCGATTTGCATGATGGAAGACAGCCGCGCCGGGTGGACGGACGAACGAGACGCGACTTGGATGACTGAGCTGATCCATCAAATTCTAGTCCTTGGGAAGCGCTCAATTAGCGGCTTCAAGAAGGAAGCGTGGCAAGCTGCGCTTGACAAACTCAACTCGGCTCACGGTATATCGTACACAAATTGAAGACGCGAAGCTCCGAGATGAAGAAGCAATACAGCCAAGCCTCGGCGATGCTCAAGACCTCTGGCGTCGGCTTTGAACTATCAACGTGTCGATTCATCTGCACAACTGGGTCGTGGCACAGTCCCTCCAAGGAAAACCAAAGCAATGGGCAGTGGGGGAGACAAAACGATTTCCACAGTACGCCCTGTGTCAGCAGTTGTTTGATGGGACGCTCGCTACCGGTGAGTTTGCAATTACGTCCGAGGCCTCGGACAATGCCATGAACAATATGGACCACGTGTTCCACCAGGACGAAAGCGATGACGACGACAGCAGATGTGACGTAAACTCAGTCTCCGATGATGGGAACCATCACAAGAAGCGGTGCTCAGGTGCTCCAAGTGGTGCGGGTATACCCAAGCGCACACGACCAACCATGGCGTCCTCAATGCTGTCACAAATTGGTGCGTTCAATAAAGCCAGCGAAAAGGAATTGGAGCTCCTCGCGATTATTGTGTCTGGTTCCAAGGAGGAAGTCAAGGTATCCTGCTCGGAGCTCGCGATTCAAGTATTGCAAGAAAAATTCGAGGATTCAATGGCGCTGTACAATATGTCAACAGCGTTTAAAGTGATGGAAAACCCAACAAAAGCGTCCATGTTTTTGCGAATGAGAGGTGAAGCTCGCGATGTGTGGCTCCAAAAG